AGAGTTTAACTGCCTCCGTGGCCGAACGGTTACCATGCCGGACTGCCACGCAGAGGTCCCAGGTTCGATGCCCGGGCCGGGAGAAATATTTGTATGGCCTACATTTATTTCTCTCGTGGGTTTGGGTGTAATTTGTGGTTGTCTATGTGTGTGTCCAAGGCACCCGCGACACAGGGTTTCCCTAGTGCGGGGCTATGTTGATTGTGAGCGTTATTATTATTATTGTATTTATTTTAAACTCTCGCCTCTCCCAAGGCCTAAAAGATTAATTTTGAATTTTTAAATGGGAGAGGCGGTATTTCCCGGCAATGGCACAGTCGGCCGGGGTCAGGGACTCAGGTCCAAGAATCGGCGAACAATACGTGTCGTATCGAGCAGGACCGCCTTCTGCATTTGTGCTGGAAGCGACACGCCACAGAAATCCAACCGCCTCAAGCTGTTAGAAAGGCTGACTGGAATTAACCCATTTGCGGACAAAACTATTGGGATTATTTCAGTGGAGGCCACATCCCACATGTCGGTGATCTCGTGCGCCAGGTCGAGATACTTCCGGCGTTTCTCGGTTTCAGATTTCACGAGACCCTCGTCATGCGGGATGGTGGCGTCCACAAGAAATACCCTCGACTGCGATCGATCCAATGTCACAATGTCAGGCTTATTCGCAAGAATAGTCCTGTCCGTGATAATAGATCGATCCCAATAGATTTTGGTGCGGTCATCTTCGAGTATTGGCTCCGGTGAATACTAATTGTAATATGGCAACCTCTGTTGCACTAGTCCGTACTTGAGAGCGAGCTCTTGGTGTTATTATTATTATTATTATTAATAAGTAAAAGTGACATAAGGCCCATTTGCCTGATGAGGTGCCAGGGATGCATGGCCCTTATTTCGTCTCGATTTCTGGTTATGTACTCAATGGGTGCAGGCCTAGTGAGCTAAATAATAATAATAATAATAATAATTTATTCTCTCCCATTCATATACAAATTAAAAACATTCTTGGTAAGCAGATAGCGGGAGACTGGTGCCCAAACTAGGTAGACCCTGTGTCTTGGGACACCAGGCCTCCGACCCAGAACAGTACAATGTATTTTCTTTTTAAATAAATTAAATAGTTACGGAAAAAGAATAAAATAAAAAATAAAAACAAAATAAAATGGAGCTGGACTTCATAACAATATTTTGAAATACAGACTAGAATTTATGAAATAGATGTGTGTGTCTGTGTCTGTGTTTGTGTGTATGTGTGGGTGAAGAGACTTAGTGTGTGTGTGTGTGTGTGTGTGTGTGTGTGTGTGT